TATATGCCTCCTTATATAACAATGCACGCTTGGATACGAGTTGGTTTTAACATTTTTTGCTAAATTGTCGTCAAAAATTAGGCCGTAAAGCGCAAAAAATTGAATATTTCATATAGGTTTTATGATAGAAGAAGCATATATATTACCCACTCATTAATATTCGTTAAAATTTTGAGGTTATCCTCGCTTTAAGAGCATTTGAACTTGATTTTTATATAAAATAGTTATATATTAGACAAATAATATGAGTTTATGTGATATTATCTTTTCAGAAGATTAGGTGTTCTTAATTCAAAATTTTATTTATTAATATTAAAAAGAATCTTTTACAAAATATAATTTACTATAATTTAATATTTAAAAACGTGCTCTATCAAAATTCCCAAAAATTTCAATATTTTCTAGCTTTCTGAGGTTGTCAACGTTTTGATTGAATTTCTGTTTACAAACAAAAGAATGACCGATCCTTTTACCACTTATTGAATTTTCAAATTCCAAAAATGCTAAAAAAGTCGGTAAGTTTTATCACGCTGACTTTTTCAAAAATTGAGGGAAAAAGGTCACAACGGAAAAATCGATAACTTTTCAATTACAATCAAAGATGCTTTTTTAATGTTACCATATTTTATGGATCAGGAAATCTAACGGCTTCCGTTCAATTTATATGAAAGGTTTGTTGGATTATATGATATGTTGACGAATATTATACGAGTGGGACTACCGGAGAGATGATCGTCACTTTTCCATTGAACCTCACATTATCCCTCATAAATTCGAAATGGGCAGTGTATAGGACATATTATATACATCTCCACTCTTTCAATTCCAGAGGGAAATAGGAGCCAACAAAGCATGATATATGTATCAGTGTCTGTAGGTCCTCCCACCGTTTTTCTTTTTCTGACACGTAATTTTCTTAATTTTGATTAATAAAAATGACAATAACATTTAGAGGTATTAACCAATTGAATTTGACGATTAATAAGAAATATTATAATCAAAAAAAAAACAATGAAATTTCAAAATACAAAAAGCATATTGTTATATGAGAATAAATTGCAATTAAAAAAAGTTGACAAAAGATGGATGATTTATCATGGCGTCTTTAAATAAGTTGGCGATAGAGAATGAATCAAGTTTATCTTTATTGAAAAAATAGAGATAAATTTGGGAAAAAGCAGAGCTTAATCCTATGCGTTCTTTGCATTGCTGAAAGTTCAGGTATATTATGCCTCAAAAAAAATGTTGTTTTAATTAAATTAAAATAACACACATGATATTCCCTTCTCGATCTGAAGCTTGTTGGATATAATCAAATTTCTATTGCTAACTTAGGATTTCGGGAGATAACAATTAAAATTTACATCAAAGTAATTACTAAGAAAAACTTAGTTACATCAAATCATAGTTTCTCAAGGCTCATGCTTCTAACCGAAAGAAGAGTTTCAAGCTATATCTCTTTCCAAACGAATATTCCAAATTTAACAGATTCAACACCTCAATTCATTTCTATGGCAGTCTGCAGCTACCAAGCTCAGCCAATTAAAGGAACCTTCTTGACATTCAAAGTATTGGAAAATATTACCAAACATGACGTTTTTACACCAAAAATGATTCTGGTTTAAATTCAACCCAATTACCAATGGAAGAGATATCTGTATCTATCTTCTTTAATTCACGTTTGTTTGAACTCAGGATTCAAGCATTTAGTATTTAATTCCCATTACAAAATTCGACTACTTTTTGTAATTTATCTAAAATATTTTAATTTTTCCAGCAAGAATTCGTAAAAATACATTTTCAAGCATGGGCCGACCAATTTCTTCCCTAATTTCATCGAAGATTCACATCTAAATACAAAATCGAACTTATGTTCCTTATCTTCGTAAAAAGCAGAGATATCGGAACGTCAGAATGATCGTATTATTTTCAGTTTTATGAAAACAAAATTACCAAGTTTTGACATTTGTCGAAATTCAAATTTCAAAGATAAACAGTTCTCAACATCAACTTTCGATAGAATTGCTTTCTTCAATTTTACGATTCATAACGGCATTACAAGGAATACAAGGAGACCATCGATTATTGAGGCTGTTTGCTCCATTCTTCTTTATAGATATTCCACTTCATACTAAGTACTCATTGAATTGCGGGAAGATAAAGAAAAACAACAATTGGAGGTTGTTTATTAAACCTAATTTACTGTATACGATATCCATCATAATTAGATACACTAATTATGCGTACATTCCATAATCTTGTGGCCAAATAAATTTCGCAAATACCACAAAAACTTTTCACCGTCGTTGCAGCGACCTCTAGAATAGATCGGGGAAAGCACACTGGAAGATTTGAGATTCAATATGACACTTTGGCGCGTATCACACTGCCCATACACAGAATTACCCGTTCATAGTTACGCGCAAAATACCTAAAACTTCACATATTAACAACGAAATGAGAAATAGTAGCCAAATCATTTCACTAGTTTGCACTCAATGCAAGCAATACGCATACCATATATTTCAGGCCACTATGTTTGGGATCGGGAAACACTGACCAAATACCAATTTAATTGTATATCTTAAAAATGTCAATTGAAAATACGTCAGTAAGTTGTAGACACCGGTTATTACTGCCCAGCCTAAAATAAATATCCTCAATAGCGTACGACTTCTGCAATTTGACTGTTAGAAAACAATAATTGCCAACATAAAACTCATCTCAAAAGTTCGAAGGTACAAAAGAAAAATTCTTTGGATGATATCACTCCTATATGCGAATATGTTTGACATTATTACCATATCCCTTAAGGAGTTTGATATCGCGTACCAGAAAGATTTCGAACGCAGAAATAAATATATGGAGAAAAACTGTCACACAATGGTAAAATGATCAAAAAATTGCTTTCCAAGGGACAAAACGATAACATCATTATCACCTTTTAATGAATGCGCAGCAAACTCTTGTACAGAATGGTCGTCATATTTCGTTGTTTGGCCTTATGAAGATATAATGAGACTCACGAATGAAGGAAAGATGACTCCTGAAGAGGAAACTGAGTTATTAACAAGATAACCAGTATACTGCTCGTACCGATGATAGCAATTAATCCCTTGATAAGCCATTTTCTCGTTTTTTGTGGCCGATTTTCCATTGAATTTCCCCAGTTTTGACTCAAAAGAAATTAGAGGAGAATTAACCATACAGAAGCATACGAAGTAATTGGAAAGAAACAGTACACTGAGACACGACGCACTACGGAAAGGTCATCCGATTCAAATTGCTTTCAAAGAAGAGCTAAAAAAGAGAAAATCAAATCAAATCTTCGAAAGCAAAAGTAAACAAAAGAACCAAATGGAAGTCAGAATTTGGAAATTTCAATGATGATAGTGGCGAAGATGAAAGAGAATCCTGTTAAAAGTTCAAAATCGTTCATTCGAGATGAAAACAGTGGAACTTCGCATGAATCCAACCGGTAGAGAACGAAGAAGAGGAGAGGGAAGAAGAACAGAAGCCAACGATTAAGTCTTAGAAAGGTCAAACCGAGTTCTCCAAAGAACAAGAAACTGTGAAATTCAAGAAGATCTATAAGTAAAGAAAAAGAAACTCGGGAGAAATGGTTGGGAATTTAATTACAATTGTCAATGCAGCTGCAAAGAAACACAAGAAATCCAAACCTTTGCCGGTGAAATCTGAAAAAATCAAAATCTAAAAATTTTAGAAAATGATGAAGAAAAAGTTGTCAAAGAGGGGCAAAAAAAGCAAATTCCTTGCAGAACCAGAAAGAAAAACCAAAGAAGAAAAAGAAGTTGTCGAAGAAATCTTGAATTTCAAGAAGAAAAAACTAAAAGAAAGGAAGAAGGTGAAACACAGAAGAAATCGAAAGAAGTTAAGCCTAGCAAAGAAAGGAAGGAAATCTGTTCAGGAAGATTTAGAAGAAGAAAAGCCGAAAAAGACAGAAATCAAAGCAAATCGAAAACGAAATTGAAGAAAAACCGAAGAGAAAAAGGTCGCAAAGCTCAAAACAACGAACCAGATGATGAAAAACCAAAAGAAAAAACGAAGTAAAGCTTCAAAAGAAAATCAAGTTGAAGAAAAGCCCAAAAAGAGGGAAAGAAAACATGATACTAAATGACTCAGATAAAGAAATTAATACAAAGAGGAAAGGAAAGAAAGTTGTCGAAAGAAATTCCAGAAAAAACAAAAAAGAATTAAAGAAAAACAAAGAGCCAAGAAGAAACTTCATCGACAGATATCGAGCACCAGAAAAACAGTCATTTGTTATTGATGCTGGTAACAGAATTGAAGGAACTCCAGTTTAATTTTGAATTAATCACAATCCAAAGGTAGAACAAACACCGGCAATCAATAATTCGGCATTTATCAGAAGAACAACGGTTGATACTCACTCAATTCACGATAAGAAGTATGACTTTGTAAATTATAATTAAAATTTTTGTTTGTAATTTAAAATAATGAAAAGAATATTTATCTGATAATAGTCTGAACTAGAAAAAGATTCATAATCTTAATCCAAATCAGCAACCAGTTTCTGCACTTAGCCTGTTTCTTCAATAAAGTAAATGTGTTATCATTTAATATAGTAAAATATAATGAGTTAGTATTCTCATTATACGTGAAGTCTTCTGAATCGTCATCTGCTTCGATTTAGCTGTCCAGGACACTGCGAATAGTAAAATGAAGATTTTTCTTTTTTAATTTGGAGTGATTTTTGTTATGATTTATCGTATGTTAATATAGTTACATTTCATTGT